TCAAAGATCTTAAAATTAATGATGAATATGGTATAATGAAAGTTGATGGGAGAATCTTCTTTCGAAAGTCATGAAATCATTGATTTAAACTCAAGAAAGATTCTTGATCACTTTCTTTCTGTACATGATATTAATAATAATACTGTGATCATAGATCAAATTTTAAGGCAAGCTCAAATAATTAATCATTCACTTGAAAGATCATCATATATAACTGTACATAGCAAAGATCAATCTGTTAAACTGAGACAGAAAACAAAATATTCTGTTCAAGCATTTGACTCAGTCTACACAAGAACCCGCACGACTGAAGATGGCAATTGTTTATATAATTCTCTTTTGATACTTAATATTGGTTTTGAAAGACTAGCACAGTCAATGAGGCTATTAGCAGTCAATGCAATGATTAATAATAGTGATCATTTTAAAAGAATTTGCAAAGCATTGAACTATTCATTTGAAGAACAGATGACAAGAACTGCTACGGATGAAAAATGGAGTGGAGAAGTTCAAATTCAAGCCCTTTCTATAGCCTTATGTCAACCTATTTATTCATATGTCAAAGTCAACAGTGATTCAAAAAATGGGCACTATGTTCCATCCGATATCAGTCTACAAAAATTGATCGATCGATTCGATAAAGGAATCATAGGCGGTCATCTTAAATATATTGGGTACAAATCAGATATGAACAAATTGAGTTTATGCATTTATTTCATTGAAAATCATTATGATGCTCTCTTACCTTTTCTAAATAATCCTCAGCAATTTATACCCAAATATGATATCATTAATATGAGTTTATAAAATGAAAGAAGGTTTCATAAACTCATCAAAATAATTAATTCAAATAAACGAGTTTTCATTTATGTAAATAAATAAAGACTCCAGAGCTAACTTCTTGCCGCGTCCCATGGGACAGAAAGAGGGCATCGACAAGGCATAAGGGGCAGTTCCTTACTAGAGGTCAATAAATGAAAATAAATTTGTTTAGGATAATTGAATAAGAAAAAGAGAAAAAAGTGTTAACCTGAGTGAAATAATCTCACTTCATTGTGGTAAAAGTGCAGTTGTAAGTAAACAATCAGGAAGTTCTCTTAAATGTTGTTTAAGTGTCCTTGCAGGAACATGTGGATCATAATTAAGTTCATTTAATGTTGTTCCTCTATCAATTGTTTGTAAGTTAAGTTCAGCAACAATTTTTTTTGTTTTCCATGTCATGGTGCAATACGAAAAAGACCTTCTTCATTTAAACTATTTTCTAATAGACGAATACATATTTCAATTGGATAAGCAACTAATGTACCTTTTCTTTTTGAACAATGTTTTATAAGATCATAACCAAATAATGGAATTAAATCATAATTTTCTAATCTTTGTTCAATGCCAGGCATCTTTCATGATAAATATCGAGATATATTATTACAAAATTGATTTTCTTCATAT